AGAATAAAACTATAAGCATAGTTTAATAATATTAAGGTAATAACCTTAGTAACTAGACTAATTATATAAAAAGCTACTAGTAAGTTACTTAATAATAAAAGGACTTAATAAGAGCTTATAAAGTAAAAACTAGTATTATAAAGAAAAGTTAAGGAAAGAGATATAATCTTCTAGCTAAGAGAGGAAGATAAAAAGATTATTAAAGATACCTTATATTATATAATTATAAAAAATTATATTAATAAAAATAAAGAAGTAACTATAGATTTATAAAAGTAATTATATAAGGAGTTAAAAATCTTTACTTTATATAAGAGAAAAGAGGTAAAGGTTAAACTACTAGATATCTCTAATAGCTTTATACTAGAAGGTAATCTAAAATAAAAAAAAAGAAATAAAAGCTAGTAAAAGGTAAAGTAAAAAGAGTAGGTAATTATATTAATTTCTTAATAGGTAAATTCTTAAAGGTTAAAAAAGGTAATTAATTATATAAGGATTAACTACTTAATATAAAAGAGTAGATCTTTAACTTAATAATATAAGAAAGAAAGATATTTCTTATTATACTTTATAATTAAGAAGCTACTCTAGCCTAAATATTTAAAAAAAGTAGTTAACTTAACCTAAGTATAATATTATTATAAGAACTAAAGGTTATTAATTATAAGCCTTAATATATAAAATTAATTTTAATTTTAAAGGAGATCTTATTAAAGTTTATTTAGCTCTTAAAGATAAGACTTAAAGTTAGTATCTTAAAAGAAAGTTATAGTCTTTATAAAAACCTAATATTTTTAGTTATAAAGTTAAATAAAGGCCTAAGACTAATTAACTTTATAATAAAAATTAATATAATATTAATCTAAGATATAAATATCTTACTTATTTATAAAGAAATAGTAAAAAACTTTATTATATATAAGATCTTATTATTACTAGACTTCTTTTTTAGTTATAATTAAATACCTTTTATAATTAGAAGCTAGGATTTAATAACCTTCCTTAACCTAATTAACTTACTTAGAATATATATCTTACCCTAAGGTACTATTAA